CAAAATCCTCATTATTAGGGATCCTGGTTTTTTCCAACTTAAAAAATCCCCAATTTTTGGTTAAAAAAAAAAAGAATGAAACATCTCTCTCTCTGTATATATATGTATATCTATGTATATATTAGTGGTGTTTCATTTAAATCATGGAAAAATGTGGATTTGGGGTTAATTTTTTTAAATAAAAAATTAGGGATTTTTTTTAAATCAGAGAAAACCAGGATCCCTGCTTATTACTCCTTTCTGACCTCTTTACTTGGACTGTGCACTAAAGAAAGGAATTCTTAGTGATTTTTTTCCTGACACATTTTTTTTAAAGTGGTCTCACATTTATTTCAAGAGAAAAATAAAATATTGATGACCATAGTTAATGTCTAAAATATGTATATGCTGACATACAACAAACCATGGGCTGGATGTTGCAAAACTAAAGTCAGTGCTGTCAAGTGAATCTCAGCCTTCACAAGAATTATTTGCCTGTTACATTGCCAAATACGTGTTACATTGCCAAATACGACTGAACCATATGAAAGAACCTGTTGTGCAACTTATTTTGGGATCAAGTCATGTAGCCTTTAAATCAGACCCTACTTACTGTATTGAAATCAGTAAACCAAATCTTGAATCATTCATTTTTGGCAGTTATGATACCTAAGAATTGTCAAGAAAAAAAAAGAAATGTGCCGAATTTACCTGTAACTGGTATCTATATTGTACATAGCCTCTGTCAGTTCTTTTGGTGTCATAAAGGTGGGAATTATTTTGCTTGCCTCCCATTTGGTCCATTCAAAGAGTCCAGGTTCCAACCTGATTTTAATTCTTTTTTCCAGTTTCAGTCCTGTCACAAACAGTATACATATTTATAAAAAAGAGAAAGCTACACTGGAAACTGTTATTTTTAGTCTGTAGAGGCAATTTTATTCATTGTTAACAATTTTATAATAAAATGTAAATTAAAGCAAAAAAACCTAAAGCATACTTCCCACTCACTACAGGTAGCTGTAGTTTTTCTACATCCATAACAATAGTCCTTCCCAATAAATAGGTAAAGTTCTGAAGCTAGCCACAAATTACCAAGGATCGTTATATTCTTGCCACAGTAATAACAAGCAAACATCACATTTTAAGTTGTTATTTGTAGACTGATGTCACTGTACTATGCAAAACAGAAACAAAATGGAGACAAAGACCTATCCTTGGGGATGATACACTCCAAGTAAATGTCAAGAATAAAGTGTTTTTTGTTATTTTTTTATATACTAGTTTGCCAAGTATTCCTTGGTAAAGCAGTAAATCATGACTTATGAGCACAAAGCCAGACCCAGAATTGGTATTTAGTCACTTAATTCCAGTGTAGGGGTTAGGAGCTTAATACCCATGTGGAACTGCCCATAGTGTTAGAGGATATACTCTCTCTTTAAGACAGACAGTTTTAGCTTTGCTTTTCTTCTCTCTGAAGTCATTTTAACTCTTGTAAACACCTAGAAGAAACAGAGTTTCTCCTCTTTATTCTGGAATAAAACGATCTATGGTTTTGTGGTTTTCAAAGAAATATTTGGGTGACCTAGCATATTGAAGTCCTCAAGAAGAAAAACATCTGTCTCTTAATAGTACCACAAACCTCTTTGTTTGAAAATACAAACAACTGGAAGAGACATTCCTCTTCACATATCCTCTTAATGTATACATGTCCCTTCACTGCACTGGAAATATTTTACTGTTGTCCCAAAATCATCTGAGAAAGAGTTAAGTACAAGAATTCCAGCATAAGCTAAGAATAATACATTCTATTTCACCTGACATGTATTTATATTAAAATCATTTCCTTCTATTTTATTTTCATTGGACAGGGATTCAAGCAAATAGGGTTACATTGTTATAGAGGAAAGAAAATGTAGTGGTCGCTCACACTGTCACGTACCCCTTGCTCTAGACAGAAGGCTCTGTTGTCACTGATCAATTACATGGTAAATATCAAAAAGCAGTGCAGTTCTGTAACTGATTTGCTTTCACTGATTAAAAGTAGAGCTGTCTTTCATTGAAGGCTAAGCTACAGTCATTTAGCTTCCATATTCCATATAAAAACTTGCACGCAGATAGTCACCACGGAACAGCTGACATGCTGCAAACTCCCACCCCCTTTTATCTCACACTAGTTAATTCATTTGCCAGCACCTGTAATAGAATAATGATCTGGGCATTTTAATTGCAGGAAAAACAATGAATTATTTTGCTAACCCACCTTGTAGTACATGGTGAGCTGTCTGTATACAGCGGAGTGCTGGTGAAGAGTATATGGAACTAACTGCAACTTCCTTCTCCAACAAAGCTTCTCCTAGAAGGAAAGGCACATCATATGTACTCCTTTACAATTAGAGATAAGAAACTGCTGCAAAATACTTATTTGATCCTTGTTGATTGTGAAATGGACTCCTACCCCTTTCTTTATTAATTTTCCGCAAATATTCTAGTGAACTAAGTTAGTGGCTAGAATGCTTGTGGAAAGAAGACATTTTAAACCAATGTAAGAAAAACAGTCATGGAAAGTAAATTTTGAATTTTTAAATGAGATTTCAATATTTGGGTGATATGTGCCTTAGACATACATACACCAGACAGTGAGAAGGAGGTGTTTATCGTATAAACCTGTTATTAAAAGATATGTTTATCAAATCAGGTAATAGAAAGATCTCATACATCATTGGCTTGTACTAACCAATGTCAGATACTCACAATGAGTTACTGTACTACAATTTACAAACTAGAAAAGTTGCTTGTCCAAGGCTGCCCTCTCTCCAGCCAGTTAACACATATGCTATGATATGGTGTTGCTTTACAGATTAGAAACAAATCGACTGCTATGTCTTAACTATTCCCTGCAAAGGCAGAGCTGAACAATTCTGCACTCTGGGCAGGATCAGTGCAGGGGGCAATGGCAGGGGCCGGATCACCACTGCTGGTTGCAGCGCCAACTGGCAGCACCAATACCTGCTGCCGTGGGTGTATCTGGAATTTTGAAAATGGGAGTGTAGATGGTGAGGTGCATCATCACATATAAAACAACACATATTTTTCTCCAGTTAAACATAAAGCAGAAGCTTTACTAATATGCCAGGGGCCTAGGACTACATTATTCAGTTTAAGATTGAAACAAAAACAAATATAACTTAATTGGAACATATTAAAAAAAATCTGAAGGTTGTGAAATAGGAGCTTCATTACTAGGAGCAGCCAACAAACAGAAGAACTGAAGACCAAAGGATAGCTTAATTGGTGATATATCAAGGCCATTGAAAAGAAGAAGAGAAGGTTATTAATACCTGGGGAATGAAGAGTTTAGAAGGGATCAGGTAGATTATAATGAGCTGCTCCTTCAGCATTGTCTGACTAGAAAGGCTGCTGCCCCTGCCAGGTGGTTGGCCCACCCCTGGCTGCTACCCCCAACTCAGCACCTGGGGCTGGTGGTCTGCTTGCTGCCCCTTAGTTACACTACTGATCTGCTGCCATGAAGTGGCAGAGAGACTCTTGCACTATATGAACAATTGGTACTGATATCCATAGTACAGCACCATCATGAAATGGTGAGATCCTCCAATTGCTGTCTAATAAAGGAGTTCTACCAGTTGAGTGGACATGCTGAATTACTGTCCCAAAGAATACAAAGCAAGAATAAACTTTCACTAGTCACACTAGCTTCCTTCTGATCCCCTTAAAATTATATTAGAATAATGCTTAACTTGCCTACAAGTCTAGACTGGAATATCCCACAATATGATAAAGGAGGATCATATTCATAATTTTTGATGCCGTCCTTTCTTTTGGGTAAACTTGTAGGAAAGTTCAGATCCACTCTTTGGTATTTTCCTGAAAGAAAACAGAATATTGAATCCATAAATATAAATGCAGCAGTACCTGAGTATACATATATGAATTTCTATTCTGTAGGCACAATTTTTTTCTTCTGTATTTTAGTTAGGATCAGATTTTCGGAACCAGCTAAATGTCTTGCTGATGACAAAAATAGCAATTCCTAAGAAGAACACACATTAAATTCACCAGAATGAATCTGGAGCAGTTTCATAGATTTCATAGACATTAGGGATGGAAGGGACCTGGGAAGATCATCAAGTCCAGCCCCCCACCCAAAAGGCAGGAAGTCAGCTGGGGTCATAGGACCCCAGCAAGATAAGAATCCAATTTGCTCTTGAAGATGTTCAATGTAGGTGCTTGAACCACCTCTGATGGCAGGCTGTTCCAGACCTTGGGGGCTCAGACAGTAAAGAAATTCTTCCTTATGTCCAGCCTGAAAGGGTCTTGTAGTAGTTTAT